ATATATATCACAACAGTGTTCAGTTATTGAGTGTAACATTGTCTCCCCTTGTTGATTAGATTAATCTCAATAATTGTTTTCATGTATCATCAAGTTTTAACATTACAAACATCTTATCTTGCTGAAATGAGTTTATCAGCAAGGTTCTACTCCTAACAGATAAATTGACTTCTAAATATTTTACGATAATATTAAATTTAGCATTTTGTCTATTATTGATTGAACACCCACAAAAATGTAAAACTAAGGATGACTTAATATGCAAATAAGTGACCCACTGCTCTGAAAGGTCGTACAAGGTCAACTTGATTTGTGCTATCAAGCCAATAAACAAGCCAAAGGCCAAATGGCTGGGCGGTTGCTTTGCACATTTATAATGTAATACTGGTATGATCCCCTAATTGAGCAGGTCCACCTTATTGACTTTTTCAGAAAGTGTTATTTCCACAATGTATTTCTATGCTAATAGTATACAGATTTCAGTCATAGATTTCCTTATAAGGAATAATTGTCTTCAGCATTTTGAATTCATATCTATTAAATAAAATAATTATCAATCTATCAGAAGCACTAAAGAATTACTAATATTATGACTTGAAAATAAAATGTAAAAAAAATTGCTTCTATTGCAGAACAGGCTATGGATTTATGATTGATTACATTTTTCAAAATTAGGATTACTAGCACAAGTTTTTATCATCTGTCGTCGACACTCCACTTTCAGTTTTTGTGTCCATCCCTAGATTTATATAGAATCTATAAAATATCTATTAACATTTCCAGTGTTGTGAATCCTTAAATATTCAACTTGCTCTTAAGCATCTTTACAACTACGTACAGTTCCAAAATAAAACATTAAAAAAATCCCTCTGTCCATAATGATTTTTGCAGGTAAAACCCACGGCAAGTCTCACACTACATGTTTTAATTAAGGAAGCTTAATAGTATAACAAATTGACACAAAAATCCACTCACTACATCAATTAAGTAAACTGATATCCTGTAAATTCTGTTTAATTTCCTACACTTTAGTATTGATTTATTACTATTACATGATCGTAAACTACACACAGGCACACTATTACCAAATATAAATATCAAATCATCACAGGGTGTATTTCATTGATTAAATCTTCAAAAAATGAATTGATTTTTATTCTAATAACATTTATACATAAAAATCTCAGACTTATTGATATTTTATAAATTATGACAGAGTTACGTGTGCAGGTTAATTAACATATATTTATACCTGTCTAAATTAAAGTCTTTCATATTGTTATAACAGTTGTAAAATTATCTTTATAGATGAAGAAGTAATTTAAATGAACAAATTCTAAACAACATATATACATATTTTAACAGGTGTTACATCTATAATATGAATGACTTATGTAGGGCGCGTCTAATTACCCAATACTACCCAATACCACCCAATACTACCCAATACTACCCAATACTACCCCATACGACCCAGTTATGAACCAAATACTTCTTTATTACTGTGAAATATCACCTTTGTAGACGTTATTTACTTCCATCTGCCATATTTTATCGGGAAATATGCGATTTGGTGCCGAAAACATCACCGAATTGCC